ATATATGCGATACAACAAAATCCTTCTACCAGCTAAGTATTAATTTCTGAAATATTAAAAGTTTAATTTATTCCTTCTCTCAGAGAGAGAGAGAGAGAGAGAGAGAATTTAAATGAATCAATCTTACTGATGGAGAAGTTATTTCATTAGTAATGTGAACAAATTTCAATGAATACTATAAATATTTAATAATTGAAATTTTGATGATTTCACTAGGAAAAAAATTAGACTAAAAGCTAAACAATTAATTCATTCACTTTTAATAGATTAAAAGTAGTATTCGAGTGGACACTAAAAGGTGGCGATTCAATTCTTCTAGCTGGACATTTGGTTCATCGAATATTCAAGTACTGTAAAACATCTGCCACACTTCACAGGAATGAGTAATATAATTTCATTTATTGCAAAACGATTATTATTAGTAGTATATAATTTATCGAAAAATATTTATTTCCAATATAAAATTTAATTATTAGCAAAATTATATTTTATAGTATAAAATTTATTCCTTCCTTTTTCATTCCTTTTTTAATTTAAATTAATTTTCAACGGTGAATAATATCAATCTGTCAATTAAAAACATAAATTTTAAAAATGATTTTTTGATTTTCTTAACCTTTATCTTTTTCTTTGTTTTTGATTAAAAGAATGAATGAGAAAATGAAAAAAATTATTTTTTGCTTTAATTAAAAAAATATTAATTAATTCCAATTAATTTAATGCAAGGAATATTAATTAATTTCATTTAAATTAAATAATAAAATACTATCAAAAAATTTCGAGCAAGAAAAAAAGAAACAAAATAATAGTTTTCAAAAGAAAGAGAAGAAAGGAAAAAAAGCTAATAATAATACATAGAAATTTATCGTAGCATTCGTTCAATTTAACCTTTTCAATTAAGAAATCAACTTTTGAAAAAATTTATGATCAAAAAGAAGGAAGAAGGTTTTATTGCTATGTGGCAGTATAAGGATCTATTGTTGGAATCGAAATTAAATCGGAATTGAAATTGAGTAATCCATTCTAAAAAAAATATTCATGGCCAAAAAGAAAGAAGAAAGTTTTATTGCTATATTACAGTATAAGGACGATAATATTTTGCTATTGTTGGAATCGAAATTAAATCGGAATAGAAATTAAGTAATCGATTTAAAGAAATTATGATTAAAAAGAAAGAAGAAAGTTTTATTGCTATATGACAATATAAAGATGATAATATTTTACTATTGCTGAAATCAAAATTAATCAGAATCGAAATTAAGTAATGGATTTAATAAAATTTTATGAGTAAAAAGAAAGAAGAAAGTTTTATTGCTGTATGACAATATAAAGATGATAATATTTTGCTATTGCTGGAATCGAAATTAAATCGGAATAGAAATTAAGTAATCGATTTAAAGAAATTATGATTAAAAAGAAAGAAAAAAGTTTTATTGCTGTATGACAATATAAAGATGATAATATTTTGCTATTATTGGAATCGAAATTAAATCGGAATAGAAATTAAGTAATCGATTCAAAGAAATATTCATGGCCAAAAAGAAAGAAGAAAATTTTATTGCTATGTGACATTAAATAGTACACAAGGAAGATAATATTTTGCTATTGTTGAAATCGAAATTAAATGCATTTCTAAAAAGCAATTGATGGATGAACTGACTCNTATTCATGGCCAAAAAGAAAGAAGAAAATTTTATTGCTATGTGACATTAAATAGTACACAAGGAAGATAATATTTTGCTATTGTTGAAATCGAAATTAAATGCATTTCTAAAAAGCAATTGATGGATGAACTGACTCGTACAAAACAACGCTGTAGGAAACGCGGAAATAAGCGTATATCTTTCGTATTACAGCGTTAATATATTCTAGCGAATATAGCTATAACTAAAATCCAAGTTAGATAACAAATAATAATTAAAAAAAAAATACTTACGCAAAAGTAATGGTAGTAATAGGACGATACGATTTATGACTACGTGGTGATCGTATCGGATAGCCCCAAAAATCACTTTCCAATATTTTTCCAATTTCACGAATAGCTCTATTATTTATGATAGCTTCACGATCATCAAATACAAAATTACCATAAATATTACCACTAAAGCTTAAAATTCCTGCCACTATAATAATTGTCAAATGGAAATATGTAATCAATTCATCCGGTTGTTGTGTTGTAGATGGTTGTTGACCGGATGATGATGGAAATTTTTGTTGTAATTTCCGTGAATTCCTTTTCCATTTCATGCTAATATCTTTCTAAAGAAAAATAAAGTAAGGAACTGAAATATGCAACTATAAATAAGCACAGTATAAGGAAACTTAAAATAATCATCGTACCGTTGTTATATTATTAATTACATTAATTTTGTGCAATGATGAAATTAGCATAATCGATCTTTTTCATACATCATCTCACGTTATTTGATTTCAAACGTCATCTCACGCTTACTTCGTTTTACATCAATGACATGTGCTAAAAGTGAAAAGCCTAAAAGTTATAATGAATGATAAAAAAGAAACATTAGAATAGCTAAGATAAAAGAATTTATCACTAATCATACTGAAAAAGGTAAACAAACATTTAATCAGAAATTAAAAGCATTTTAAATATTTTCAATTTTATGGGAAAAGCTTCCAAGCTTTGAAAGCTTCTTTTATTCATAACATCGCATGGATATTGGATTTTGGAATGGATGAATTAAATTGAATGGACATTGGTCTAAAGTGAAGCATAGGCATATTAGTAGTAATAGTAGTGCACCCATATGTTCATTCTCTTCCTATCTTTTTCAAAATCATTCCCAAATAAATCAAAATTGCTATTTTGGTCACTTGTAAAGATGATGGACACATAGTGAGAATGGAAGGAGGCTACCAATTTCTATTCATAATCCAAATTAGCTAATATGAGAGATGCTAAAACAATTGATTGCAATTTTAAGCTTGAAATAAAAATATTTCTTAATTTTAATCTTAATTGAATTTTTAATATAAATTCAAAATTTAATTTATTAAGAAATTTTGAAAGTTTAAATTTGTCAAAGAAAAAATTTTCTTAATTAATCAATTATTAATTAATTTTTTCTAATATTTCAATAATCTAAAATTTAATAATCTATCAAAAAATAAAAAATGTTTGAAACAAAAACAAATTATTCAATAATTTTAGGAAACACTACTGGGTTGTGTGTGTATGTATGGGTGTGTGTGTGTGTGTGTGTGTGTGGTGTGTATGTGGTGTGTTATGGGTGTGTAGCAAGGAAACGATAAAATTTCTGGGAGAGGAGATGGCATAGACGAAACTTTTGGAGGACATATTCCGATCGTTGACAAAAGTAGTAAAATCCATTGACAAATTGAAAGTCGCATGCTTGGTCATTTTCGTCCCATCACAATTGGTCATTTTCTCGAACAAATGCTATTGTGCTCAAGCAATTCAACCCCTATTTGACACCCATTGTCAATCTATTTATTTACTTATCCTAACGGGAAATGCATCATCAAATTTTTATAAATTGATTTGGTCAGTTGTCCACATATACATATATGTATACCACAGAAATGATGATAATTCCATCTTCTATTCTCTGATATTATTATTTAAAATTTTATGCAAAATTTTTTTTCTAAAAAATATGATAAAAGATTGGATTAAATTTTAATTAGGTCAAAATAAAATAATTAGCTAATAACTAATCGATAGTATACGAATTAAAAGATGATATACATCAAATAATAATTGTGAAAATTATTTATCCAAAATTAAAACCAAACTTATTAACTAAATCCGATCATTAATTGTTGAGTGAAATTAAAAGAATGGTTGAATGGAAAAAATATTCTAAATTGATATTTTCATTGAACAATATAATTATGGTTTTCATTAATTCACTTATTAATTACTACGCATGTTCATTATTATAGATAATTTTTGGATTATGCAAACATGCAATGTTTTACGTTTTCTCAAATGCTTCCGAACGTTTCATAATATTTTCCAATATCTTATCATGAATACAAACAGATGTGTCAAAAGTCTAACGCTGTTAAACTTCAATATTATTGCTCTAAATAAGAAGATGTTTAATTGATTAATTAAATTTGACACTTTTCAGCTAATTCACAACTACATTAAATTATCTGTTAAATGCACATCTATTTTATTTAGTCTATTTATTATTACATTACTTCTTCCATTCAAATTTCTTGATTTATCTTCAGTTTATAAGGAAGCAAAAATTTCTTTTTAAATTTTATATACATGAAAAATACTCGTGACCTTTGCACCTCTTGACTTCATTAATTTAGTTTAATTTAATTGTAATTTATATATTTTCATAAAATTGCTCAATAATTTTAGCATATCAGAATTAGTTTATTTCAAAAATTTCTTCTACCTAAACTATTTACATTTCATATATCCTCTTAATTTAATTTAGTTAAATTGTTTATAATTCAATCTATTGTTTTAATAATACTTTATATTATCACTTTAACTTTTAGCTATGTCATTTAAGTTTCAAATATTCGCTCATAAGGAGATTTTTTTTTTTATTTTATTAAATAATATTTTGCTTAAAAAATTTTGCTCATTTATTTTTGCTGCTAATTAATTGACTAATTAATTGAGCAGAAATTAAGGTATAAATTTACAAAAGGTATACTGTTAACAATAAGGCATGTAATATCTGTAAAATACAGCATTTTTTAAACATGTATACTGAAAATAGTGCCACAATATAAACAAAGAAAAAGTTATCAATAGGAAATTATCAATAACAAATATCAACATTGCAAAATGGAAAATAAAAAACAATCAATTAGTGATAAGCATAAAGATAAGCATCGGTAATTCATTTATCAGTGTTTTAGGATGTTTAAATCTTTTTGCAAATTTTAAATCTCATAATTCCTCTTTTCTTATTTTCTTAAATATATTGCTATTAGCATATTTAGCATACATTAAATGTGTTTCAGTTTTCCATTTTAATTTTAGAATTTTTATCCTATTTGAATATCGATAGCATGGATGAGATCTGTCGTTTAATCGCTGGTCTTAATTCATTCGTTGATGAAATTTTCCCAAATTTTATTTATAAATGCTATCTGTCATTTCAGATATCTTACTCATTACCCATCACTTGAGATATATCACCCGTTACTTGAGGTGCATTACCTATCACATGAGATTCAATACCCGTTGCATGAGATATATTACCCGTTATTTGAGATATATTACCCATCAGATGAGGCACAATACACGTTACATGAAATATATTATCCATCATTTGAGATATATTACCTATTGCTTAAGATATATTACTTTACCTGCTACTTGAGTTATACTACCCATTGCTTAAGATATATTACCGATCACTTGAGATATATTAACCGTTACTTGATATATACCATTCATTATTTGAGGTGAATATGTAAATTTAATCGATAAATATATTGGAAATAGTATTATTCC